CTGACTGACTGTTTCATGACATCCATTAACGTTTAAGATTTACAGAAATCAACATGAAGAACGGGGTAATTTACAATCAACATTCAAAAAACAATGTTTTTTTTGCATTGCACAAGGTCGTGAGGAAAAAATTAAATAACACCAAAAAATGAATTCCAAAATGGGCATCTTAAAAAAGGAACACCGCGCTGGTTTAATCAAACCGCCGAAAAACAATCTGCATCTGTACTTCGAAACAATAAAAAACGACTGAAAAGATTAATGAATTAATAAGAGCGCAAAGTCAACATAAGTCCAAAGAAAATCCAGTTTCAATTTATTTTCAATCCTTAATTAAGAAAAGGAGATCTTGTCAAAAGAGTGATTCAGAATAATGAGTTAAAACATAAAAATTTCCAATTAAACAAGAGAGAAAAACGTTTATTTCATCCAGATTAAAGATGCCGTGACTTATTCTTCATGCTGAACGTGGAGGCACAGCTGTATGACTTTTGCCCGCTTTCAGGTATAAATAGGGGACAACATAATGTCAAGGTCTCAAGACAATGATAACTATTGTAGGTAAATTATGGAAGTACTGGAATAGCAAGTTCAGGTAGTACCAAAACACCGGAACACTAAGTGTTTGAAAATAATAACTTTAATACTAGCACAATGTTGTGAATTTACAGATGAGGAAGTTGAACATATGATTGCTGGTGGGTCGGGAGACATGCTACTGAAGTGTTTACTACAAGAAGTCAAAACTGCAACCTTTAGCCATCTGGTTCAAACTCAAAGCATGAAGTTTATCTAATTAAAGTAGATCCCGGCTACTAAATATACCATACCAATGGAAAACCTCCATGCATACATTAGACTAGGTCTGGTTAGAGGAACGTCACTTCAATGATAATGACATAACAATGAAAACAAGCCACTAGTACGACGAAAACGGGTTAGCCACAATGAACGTTTCTGAACATTAAGGTGCAAACAGAAAAGAATGGTGGATCTCACGAAAACACCGTGTGAAGTTAGAAACTCGGTAAAGCATGTTCGCCACTGACTATCACCGAACTTTAGTACACTTCACTGCAGCAAGAAAAAGACGTGGTTTTCAGAAAAACCAGAGAATCAAGTCAAGATCCGCTATCTTCTGCGGATGTGAGAGAACACCTGGTCAGCAATATAAAAATCATTATGAGTAGATGTCTCGAATGGCGGGAGATGTGGAAACTTCGTGGGAGCTATTTAAAAAAGGCATCATTTGGATCTAATCTGCAAAATAGTATGATGCAATGCATGAGAAGTTAGATGATTCATGGTCAAAAACGATCTCGACCATGCTTAACAAAGGAAAAAGCTGCGCTGAAAGACTCACTTGATTGGAGACAAGAATCAACGAGAAATTTGCGACAAGCATAGAAAACCGGCAACTGGAACACTACTACAGGTAAAAATGCAGCTGTCATTCGGTCAGATTCTTAAAGAACAGCTTGACATTTGATCGTTGTCCCCAACTAGCGCTCAGATTCAGTGACTTACGATACTAGAGGGGAGTTTTGCCACGACATCTAGACAAATAAAGCACGACATATGGAAAAATTTCAGAGCTTAATCCACCACCCCATTGCTTCTAATTGCCCAGGGGGATTTTAACCTTGCCACATCTCCGTGGTATTTGAGCACTTGCACGGTTAAATGAATCTCTTCTCTCTCTGCATGCAAACACTTCGTCCACTACAGCTACTTCGAGCTAACCATGAACGACGTTCCAGGAGCTGGTTGTTCTCGCATATGCTTCTGCATAAACACCGTAAGTAGTTGATATGCCACAATATTGCCGTAGGACATCTCGTCCAAACAAGGTTATAAGAAAGAAATACAAGCCATACACAGTTAAAATATCGGTCATACTACACTATTATGATTCGGCCATTTTAGCGCAATTCTTTTCATGAATTTAATGATGCGGTGCTGATCTGTTTCTATGTCATCAGGCAGGAGTAATTTATTTTTAGAGGCACAGTCTGCAGCCACTAACTCCGCCGTTACGGGTAGCAAACCCGGACCAGAAAGGAGGAAGAATGGAGACCGTGGCGAAGTCTCTGCAAAACTCAGCCACCAGCTTTGAAAATTATACCGGCTAGGTCGTCACCCGGGTGACCAAGAGCCCCGCAGTCTCTTGGGGGACTGAAGCAGACTGCGAAAAGTCGGCGATCAGAACTTGTTCATGGCCCTCTGCCAGCCGGGCGCGTAGCAACACAATAACGGCTGACGAAGACCAGCGGAACGGAGTATACCAGTCAGCAAATGAAGTTGCTACCCGTTCTGAACGGAAGAGGCAGAGAGCGCGATGCCATTGCAACACGTCAGAAAACGCTCCACGAGAACGACAACGTCAGTGAGAGCTCACAGTCAGAAATTGGAATATATCCGCACATAGAAGGAAAGAGTAAGAGCTAGCTGATGAGGTCGCAAGATAAAAACTCGACACAATCGGACTC